TTTCTTTTCAGTCAGGTGTTCTCTTTGATTAAATATATTTATTTATATATCACACATATATAAAAAAATACAAATCATGCGTAATGTGTGTGTGCCTATTTATGTGCATATATATTTGTATGCATACACGTGCATGTATATGCATACTTTTGTTTATACACCTAAGATTTACTTTGTGTGTGTATATATATATAAMTAAAAGATTAAAAGAGTGAGAAAGCAAGGAGAGGAACTGAAATGTCACATTTTAGCTGTAAGTAAATGTCTGCAATTGTTACTAAGCTTCACAAGTTCAGCCTTTGCAGTAATGCTTCATAGAAGGTAAAGATGTCTAATGGCAGGAAAAAGTGCTCGCTGGACACATAGGAAGCAAAGCGTGTTTTATTTTTGGCACTGACTTAAATACGTGGCCGAAAAAAGCACAGGAGGAACTGAGTGGGAATCGAGAGTACTGAGCCTTGTTCTGTTTGTGTTATTTGATGTTAAGAAATATGCGACTGTGAGGAGTAGGAATCCTACTAGCACCTCAACATGCATGTCTGGGAAAGCATCATAAGGGATCGAGATTCCTTAGGCGCATTTCCTACTTATTTTTAGAACGCATACCGGAAACAATACTCTGAAAACTATTTTTTCCCCTTTTTTTTTCTCCCCCAAGGCCAGCTATCCCATTTTTTCTTTCTGAAGTGCTGACAGCAAAAAATGGGGAAAGATCTGTCTCATCCTACCAAGGTTAGGCCTTGCTGGGTAGTTTTATTACCCTCCGGAGTATCTCTTACATTTTATTTGCTCCAGTTTGGGTGGCAAAATTTCTAGCGATTATTTTCCGTCCTTGTTCTCCTTTCTTTAATAGCCCCAACTTGTGCCCTGTTTCGCTTTACACAACCTTATCCTGTTACCTTGCTCACAGGCAGCTGGATCAACCAGAAAAATCCCCTTTCTCTCAGTATTGAAATTCTTCAGCAATTCTTGTCCACATGTCACATTCTGCTTAGGCTCCTGAATAAACACTGGGGGAACAGGATCTTAATGCTCATTTGCAAAGAGAAGCAGAAGTCGCTTTAGAATTGAGCCACATAAAGTACTGGGCACTGTACTAAGAAGAATAATTGTGAATGAGGACAGGGCTGTAATTAATGTGCTTAGCAGCTGAACTTGGCATGGGGTAATCAAAAATCAGTTTTTTTTTGTGTGGCTTTGTCCCTAACTTCACMAGATGTGCAAGCATACAAGCTGCCTGGCTTGTAAATCCAAGTTATTTTAGGTTATAAAGGTTATCCTGTAGGTATGTAAAAATGTAGGTTATCATAAGATGGAGCGAAGGCCTCACATGAATAATAGGTTGTTTCACCTCTGTTGTCCTGCATTTTAACATATCAACATATTAAGGATTAATACTATACTGCTGCATAATTCACTTCTAGCTATTTTTAAAGAAAATTAATTTTCTATTTTTTTCTTTACGGTGAGTCCCTACTTTGTATTTTCACACCTTTTGTGTACTCTGTAGCTGTAAATTGTAATAGTCCAAGAACTTTTGTTTTTCCCCATGTAGGACCACTTAGTTTTACACAGAAGGTGATATATTTCTGACCTGTAACACAATTTCCCAAAACTGTATTAGCTACCTCTAGTATATTGTATTTGCCGAAGGACCAGAAGAGAACAAATTTGATAAAAAAGGGGGGAAAAAGTCTGAAATTGTAATGTATAATCTTGTAATGCAATAGCAAATAATAAAATTAAATCATTTTGAACACTGGAAAAAATGTAGCCATTGAATGTGTGCTGAGATTTATCTTTAGTACATCAAGTAATTAGAATACAGGGTAGGTTATTGGTGGCAAAAATACCTGATCTAGTCAAAAATCTTCTTAAGATGCAGTTGCAGGGGTGGTTGAACGGGCCCAGGTGTGGCCTCAGCTTGTGGCTGTTGCACACCCAGCAAGAGCTGCTCGCCTGCTTTAATTCAAAATACAGCAARTCCCTTTAAACCACCAGTGGTGCCGCTGGTGCCGGTTCCTGCCAGGAGGAGGACGTTGGTCTTGTTTAAAATTATTCCCTCTATTTAATGGGAAATGTGTTTTGGGGAGTAAGGGAGAGGATGTCATGGGAGGAAGAAAGGGAGGTTTTGTGCAGCCGGTCCCTGTCTGGCACCAGGATGYGAGTGAATCCTGCTGGGTCCCAGCACAGCCCGTAGTGACACCCGCGCTGCCGTGTCCGTGAGCTGAAGGAGCAGCCACCTGAATCGCTGTGGCTTTGGGACGGGATTTTGCCAGTGACCTGYGAGGCAGTGGAGCCTGAGCCCGTCCCTCGGTGGTGGCACCAAGGGGACAAACATGAGCGCTGGCCCGCGAGCCTCTCGCGTGGCGCCTGCTGGGGGTTGCAGCCATCGGGAGGTAAATGAAGTTGTTCTGTTGGGTCACTCCTGATTTACACACAAGCTGTTTCCACYGAAGCACCTGGGGCCTTTTGTTCAGACTTGTGAATAAGCCTCTTTCAGGCACCGGCAATAATTTAGAGCTCTGCTCCCTTCAATAGGTGAAAGGCAAGTAGAGGAGCGACAGTTTTTCCTCTGTGTGTGTGCAACTCTACACGTTTATTTGTTTTATTTAAGAGAGGTAATGGGACTTGACCAGTAATAGAAATTCTCTTATATACTGGGATAGATTCAGAAGCCGTCTGAGGTGTTGCTTGTTTTCTGTGGTGTGCTCCCTAGATATGGCATAAAATGAGGCAGCAGGAAGAAATACATGGGCACGAACATCCTCAGGCACGGGTCACTCTGCTGCRGAGACCTCCAGGAGTTTCCTTTTAACGTGGCAATTTTAGAGGAGGACATTACTCTCCAAGGGCTCTAGCAGAGAGGGGTATGTTTACATTTGCAGACTGTCTGTCCCCCCTTTCCCCTAAATCCCTAGCTGCTGCTTGTAGTCACTCAGMCTGATTTGAGCCATAATTTTGCATAACCTTTGAGGCAGCATAGGCTAGCATTGCCACTGACACAAGTGGCCCTCTTTTTCTTGCCTCAGTGTCTTTTCATGCCTTGGTTAGTACCCCTGTTCAAGGTGGTAGCTTTTATTTTGCTCACCTACCTTGAACTGCAGTCAGCTCTTCAACCTGCTTCACCTTGCCAGACAAAAGCTTCAGCTGACTCCTAGAAAGAGAAGGCCTGGGAGGAGGGAATTAATAGTTGGGGCAAGACTTTAATAAGTCTTAATTTCTTATTATGAATTTGTACTGAGATATGAATCCTAGACTGGGTCAATGGTAAGTGGCTGAATGCAGGTGCAGTGAACGGGCTTTGCATTAGCAAAASCTTGTGGTTTGTTACTCCTATGATTCTGTGACTTTCCGGTGGGGTACTGTGAAACAACGTAAGGTAATGCGCTATTAAATTTGGTCAGATACTTAAATATAAAGGTCAGCTTGTTTGCAGTTTTGTGTTGCCAGTGATCACAGTATCTTAAGAGCTGGAGTGACACRTTGCATTGCAAACAACAAAAAACCCTGGGATTTGTAAGGGTTTGGTGCGTGGGAGGGAGTGTTCTTGAAAGTCGGGATAGCAAACAAGGAAATATGGCTCGGATTTTGTCTGGTTATGATCCTTCAGCCATAATTCTTTGTCCATCAGAAAAGGCATCATCTATGTTTCCTTGTTAGGTTTAATATGATGCAGATCCTAAAACTGAAGAAATCAATTACTTAGTTTTGTTTGCCTTTTTTTTTTTTTTTTCCATAAAGAAAATGTGAGAAATCACTGTAAAGTATTGTAAAYGTTTTAGGAGCACTTTCATACAGGTTATGCTGCCCATAATCTTGTGGCTCTATTTCTGGAACAGAAGCGTGAACAGCAACACAGGGCACCAAAGAACCTGCTGACGGACAGGGTTAATCCCTCTGTCTCTTCCGTGTAGACGCCTGGTAACAAAGCAGGGATGTTGGTGATCCCGCTGCTTTCTGCTCATTCAAGGACTGCTTGCATAGCTCCTACATAGTCACTTAGAGTGAGATTTTCTAGTTCTCTTAAGAGCAAGGAGAAACAGGGGCTCAAAAGGCAGCTGTCATTCCATACCCATTCCAGCTGCCCCTTCCACTCAGGTTTCCTACCATCCCCCCTTTAAAAAAAACTTCATGTGGAGGGGGGTGCAAATATGAAATTTCTGGCTTCTAAGATATCACATCCTGTAGTTTTTATAATTGGCTGCCCATTTAAAATATACTTTTTCCTGTCTTACCAGTACTTAGACAAATGCAGCCATTGTGAGAGCAGTTTTTATCCTAATGCATCCTTCAATCTAATAGCTGGGAGTTAACGTGAACAAGCAACTCTGTATATTCCAGGATGTAATAGCTCTATCAAAATAAACAGTTTTCTGCGTTTGGCTGCTGTGGCTCTTCTTTTGTATTTAGTGTGTTTGAAGGAACAGAGTATTTATTGTAATAATTGTATTTAATGAATAACAAGGCAAGCAGAAACATGAAACTCCTGTAAAATGTCACCAAGTTCTATTGACCTTGGACTGCAGGATTTTTCTTCTATCCCCTTTGGAGATTTAAAAACAAACAGATAATAATAAAAACATACAAAACCTTTCCTTTCCCTGCTGGTAGTCAGTTTAAAGTTGTCATTTCCCTTTCTGCTTCCCTTGCAGAATTGCTCGCTCTGTGTTGTGTTGTGCCTGGGCAGCAGCTATGCATGGAGAAGAGGCCTGACTAATTATAAAGAAACTTCRTTTTATTGGTGACAAACTGCACCTCTGAAATTAAAAAAGAGGAGAAAAAAATGCTTTCTTGATCTGCACTGTCCTTTTCTTGCTGCTATGACATCTGTAAATCTTTGGGGAAGGAGAAGGCTCCTCAGCAGTGTGTGTTTTCTTAAAGATGCCTCAGCCTTTCAGGGCAGTTGTTGGTGGCGCTCAGCTAAGCCTTGACAGTACCTGTAATCTGTGCCATCCTGTCTCATGCAGCCCCATCTCATAGTTGTCCTTTCTCTGCAGTGCTCTATGCCCAGATCTCTGTGGCTGGGCTGCTCCAGCCTGGCGGACAGCATGCCCTCGCTGCGATGCCTCTATAACCCAGGGACTGGCGCCCTCCCAGCTTTCCAGGTACTTTCTGTCTCTTCCCTGCTCCCTCTTTTCTCTCCGTCTGTGTGCGTGTGCTTCCTTGCTCCTGCTTGCCTCCATTTATTCTGCTGGATGCCTCTCCCGTGTCATGCAGGACCCCTGCAGTATTTAACACYGCCTTGTGCAGATTCAGGCTAGCCCAATACTTGGGCTTTTCCTTTATCTTTAATATAATTATTTTGTCTAAATTGGCTCAGTGCCATTAGCTTTTCCATTGGTTTTTGGTTGTGTCGAAAATACACTGCTTAATTATATTTGGCAAGCAGTATCCATCACACAGGCTCCAATCTGGCTGCTCATTCCGTGATTCCCTTCCTATCTAAATTTTCCTGTATGCTGTGTAGGGGACTGAGGGGGTGGGTTCATTGCCATGGTGATAATTGATGCCTGCATTTGTTGACTTTATTAAATTTGTTAGCAGTAGTTTGGGCACTTTGACTGCAGAAAATTATTGCACAAGCAAGCTGTTAATCACACAGCAAATCAAGTAAGCCTGTTTTTCTTTGCTCCCCGAGTTTATCTTAGATTCAAGGTTTTCTCCACCATGAGACGACCTTGTGCCAAGTGGGGTTTGTTCAGGGGCTTTGGATGACGGGTGGATCTTCCAAAATTCAGCTGCTCTCCTGTGGGCAGAGAGCAAGGCGAGTGTTGGCCAAGCAGTTAGAAACCTAGTGAGGGCTCTCAAGAGCATTGCAGACACTTCAAAATATAGATTTGAATAGGGGGGTAGTCACGACTCGGCCATCTCTGACTTGCTGGCAGAGATGCTGTGTGGGCRTTGGATGCTCTGCTGTGTCTGAGATGATGCTGTGTGAACTGCAGTGACCTGGGGGCCACAGGGAGGTTTCTGCAGAGAGCAGGTTCACYGGAGCTCGTGGTAGCCTGAATGTTGATCACAATACACACTTGTGTGGTTTTTTGTTTTAAACCCAAAGAGTTTTATTTGCCAACATTTGGAGGAAAAAAACAATAGGGCTAACAGGTTATCCTTCCTGAAATCGTGAGGGCTTTTGGTGGAAGTTCGCTCCCTGCCTCCTCAGGACAGCATGCAAGGGCAGCTCTTGAGCTTGGTTGCTGGCCCTGGGTACGAGGAGGGGCTGGGGCTGCCATCTCAACCTCGTGGGACACTTAGGTGTCCTGCATCGTTCTGCCACGTGCCTTTCTGGGCTGGCAGGAGCAGTGCTGGCTTCGGAAGGGGTCCTGCCAGGCCTCTGCCACCACAGCAAGCCTTGAGCAGAGCTCTGCAGAGAGGGAGGGGATATAAGACTTTTTATTAGTCTAAGAGGACTCTGGAGACACCAGGCAGAATTTAGAATCCTACTTCTAATCCCAGTTTGCATAATTTGACTAAATCGGATGGGCCTCGTTTTTGGGCTTTCTGCTGTCGAGTAAATCTCAGACCTCTTTAAGCTCAGGTTTTAGAGAACCTTAGCGTATGTAAAGCAATTTGTAGGCCCAAATTGGGATTCCTCTCTTTTTGCTTGAATTATTTTTGATTATTCAGTGTAAGCTTATAAAGCATTTAGTAAAGGGGAGGAACTAGCTTAATTTAGCTCAAGATACCCTTCCTAATGATAGGTATGAACAGCAACATTACTGCTAGCAGAGCGCATGATGTTTGCAGTCAGATGAGTCAACTGCACCACCATTTACTACACATCGCCTTCGTGGAAGCACAGCAGGACCTGCAGACTTGGACACGTTTTCTTGGATATTTAGTGACTACGGGGGTTGGGGAAATCTGCCTCATTTGCCATCTAAACTGGTGTGCTAGCACTCTTCATAGCGCTCCTTGTTTCCTATGTTGAGGAACTCATTTAGTGCCAATTGAGAGAGAACTAAATTGCCAGCGCCAGCTTCTGCAGCAATGAGTCATCCTTATTTCAACGCAGGCTTTCAGTGGGCTCTGCTCCCCATTAGCTCGCATGGTCTATGGAAATCTCCCCTTTAGGAGACACGGCTCTTGCTTTTCCCAGTGCAGTGATCTAAATGGGAGTGGTTAGGAGCCCGCTCGAAGCTGTGATGTTGAAATATTTCATCATTCCTTAATGCTTTCCTTGGTACYGAATCTTCAGGAAAGCATTAAGGGCTTTCCTGTAGCCCAGCAAATTTTCTCCTATTAAGTTATTTTATTTTTTTTTCCCTAGCAAGCTCGAAGCAACTGGAGAAGCATATCAATGTTCTTTGCTTGTGGCAAAAGAGAAGGTGCCATCTGGAAGGCTACTTAGTCACTGCTGAATTTATCTAGTTATTTACATGCTTACCTTCAGATGCTCAGACACAAATGTGGAAACAGGCTCTTCTTGAATAGCTCTGTTAAAGCCCTGCTGGCTTCTCATGGGAAGCATTGGCAGGTAGTCGATTTAGAGATGATTCTGTTAATATGTCAGATAACTTCATTTTTCTTCTTTGTGTGCTTTTATTACTGGAGACACTTGTGTGCAAACAGGATCGTTTGGTTCCTGACTTCCATTTGGCAATCCTTGCGTGCAGGGAAAGGTTTTAAGGCTGAACCTGGGGATGGGGAATAAGCTATTAGAAAGCAGGAGATATGTATTAAAACAAAGCAAAACTCTTCCATCTCACMGTGCTTTGCAACCCTTGATTGTGGTTGTGTCTGTGTAGTTGGATTTCCTATAGCTCATGAGGGAAGATGGCATTAAATTGGAACATGAAAGCCTATAAGACASTGTGGGAGGATGAAGAAGAGAATTTTTTCAGAGAAAAGGGCTGGCCCTCTCATGTTCAGTGTCGTGAGTGCCAGGTTTTCCTGCGCTCACCCCCTTCAAAGCAACTAAAATCTACTTCGAATATAAATTCTTTTAATAGAGAAAATATACTCTGAAGATTTGTTTGTTTTTAATAAAAATCCCTCTTCTGGAAGCTTCCAGATCGCAGCAACAGGTGTCTGTTTTCATGAYATATTTCATCTGAAGATAATTACTTCCCCCTTTTAAAATATTTGCCATGCATGTTCAGAAGGCTCAGTTTATGTTGCGTTTAATAGTCTCCGTTCTTTTCCAAATTTGATTTATAATTACACCCTACAACTGCGCTGAAGAAATAACTGGTTTAAACCTTCCAGTTTTGCAGAAGGCCATAGTGTTTCCTTCACTTTTCCACGGGCTGCTGTTTGGATGAGGAGACTTGAGGAGCAACCAAAGGTTGCACCGGGGCAGTTGCAGAGACCCGTCCAGTTGGGATGGGACCTGATGCCCCTCACAGGCGTTGGGTCCAGCTCAGGTTGTAGCATTCTGGCATCAAAGGCTGTGCTTTTATTCCTTCCAGGAGCCCGGTGCCATATCTTGTTGGATGCAGCAGTGTCCCTCAGGAAGGCCGGGAACGCCCCTCGTGCCGTAGCCGGAGGTTTTTCCCTCAGCACGAGGCGGGAACGAGCCGGGGCGGCCAGGCCTGGAGCGGTGGCCACACTCGGCCCGGCCTGGCGCCCACGGGCTGTTTGCAGGGAGCCTCCGAAATGGCTGTGTGATTTTGGTGACTAATAGCCAGAGCATGTGGCTGCAGCACCCCCGCGGCCGGCGGCAGGCGCTCCCCTGTTTATGAATGTAGTTAGGTGGCCCCCAACTGTTTACAAGACAGCAGAGGTGAGGCCTTTGATTGACAAGTCAGAAATGCATTAGATCATTCCCTCTGCCAGGCTCTGGTTCATGCTGTTAAAAATGTCAGCCTCTCCAAGTTTGAATGGCAGCCCGAGGGCCTCCGAAGCTTTTTGTTTTCTGAGATGGAAACACAAATTGGATGTGTGCCTGAGCGCTTCATCCTGGGCTGTAATTTCATCTTTTAGCTAAGAACCACAAGGTACATGAGCAAAGCACCCTGTAAACAATAATACTGGGGAAAAAAATAAACAAGGTCGTGTTTCTGGTACGTTGATCCACCGGTGTCCTGACCTCTATCACGTTGAACATCTCCACTCTGATTGCTGTTCCCTTTGGCATTACAATGAGAGCAGAGAGACTGACACGAGAGGCAGAGATTTAAAGTTGCAGTGTTGTTGTACGTTCCTTGTATTGGCTATGAAATATTGAACTGCCACAATGCGACACTGTTTTTTTTTTTTTTCCAAGCAAAGTTTCTTGTTTGAGGTGTTTGGAGTCCCTTTCCCCTGTTTGTCTGCGTCCTAGCACCTGGCAGGAACAATTAAGGGCACAAGTGGGAATCAGGGAAGTTGCAGAAGTGAAGCCAAATTCATTGTGTAATTTTTTGCACTTGACTCCACCCCCTGAATGTAGTCAGACATTCAGGAGCTTAATTGCAGGAGGACCAAGAGGGTTATCCCAGCTTGGCATCGTGCGAAGCAAGTCAAGCCACTGCCCAGGGACTAGAGAAGAGCTTTGGTAAACAAACATATTTAGGGTTTATCCTCCTTTAAATCTAATGACCTTTATGTCTGGCTGGTTGCTTAAGCACTGTATGACCAGCACTGAGCTGGGGGTGGATGGAAAACCTACCAAATCCTGTTTGTGTCTTGCATTTTCTTTTTTTTTTTTTCTTTTTTTTTGAGGGGGTTGTATAATGCAATTTATTACTTAGAAGTCAGCATTTATTTTCCCCATATCCTCCTTGTCAGAAGTCTCACGTAGATTGTAGAAAAGAGAAGAGCATCGAGAAAGGTGACGGTACCTGCTGCTGAGAACWACCCTCCCTGCTCAGCTCCACCCCAGTATGCCGAGCACGGTGATTAAATCCAGCTGCACCGCGGCTAAAAAGCCTCCCTTACTCCAGCTTCTGCATTAATTATCTTGTTACTGTGTAATGTGCCCTTCTTGGTAAGGAGAGGGCAAAGCCTTTCACACACCAGCATTAGTTTGGCCTATTAGTTTAAAAAAAAAAAAAAAGAGAAACAATACTAATCTGTTGCCCAAACCTGCATTTTCCTTCCTCCCTCGTTAGAAGCCAGAGAGGTGTGTAAACCTGCTTTGACAAATGGCATATGCGGCGCCACGACGCAAGGATACAGGTAT